CCCCAAAACCCCAAAACCCCAAAACCCCAAAACCCCGAATCGAAGCCTCTTTATCGAAAAGGTATAATATTTTTGTAAAATCAAATATGGAGCGCTCAAAATCAACTAAGGAAAGACTCAATAACGGATTGACCTCACTGAAAAGGTTATTGAAGGAAACCAAATTTCATCCTCTTAACTTCATGGTGCCAACCAAAATAGCTCCATTGGAGAGAAATTTGAAAAATGGTACTTGATTGGGGTTTTAGAGGAAATTTTACCCTCTCAGTTTACTAATTTTAAATAGATGATAGCTCATTTTACAAATTTTACTCGGAATCTCAGTCGCGATGGCTCTTGCTAAGAATCTCCTTCTGCCAAGCTGAAGGTCTTGAAGATGCTAAAGTAGAGTAAGCTGAACCTTATCTGTAGAGCTGAGCTTCGAAAGTGTAATTGGCTCCTTTCTCCAGAAAACTCATTCTCTTATGAGGCAAATGGGGTGATACAGTATTATTCCATTTACAGGTATTATTCATCTAAAATCATAGTATTCAAGAGGAATTTACTTTCCTCTCAAAGTTGCTAGAACAAAGAGATTCTGACAAATAAACTTGGAATAAAATTCACTGCAACTCCTGAAGAAAATGTTGAATGAGATGACGAACTCATCCCATTCAAGAAGGGTGCAGTAAATTGCTACCCCTTCTTTGATGAACAAGAGTTAATTAACCTATGGGAAGGAATCACTAGCTGATTAGTAGCCCTTCAGCATAAGGGCTTCTGCCATCGAGAAGTTTGTCCACAGAATATAATGATAACTAAATTTGAAACTTCACACAAAAAGGTAAAGACATGAAGTAATTTCTTGTAGGGGTCACCAGACGTTCTAAACAACTCTTTACTCAAAAAGATCAAAATTTTTAGTCACCAAAACATGGAAGAAGAGTCTACTAACCAGCGGCTAGTAGACCTTCCAAGTTGCCGTAACCAGACATTTAAATTCACTGGACTATCAAAGTTGACTGAGACCAGACTGACCATGACCAAGAGGCCTAAGCTAGAGGAGCTGATCTCTCTTAAGCTTAAATAAGAACATCAGTGTTGCCAAATGAGGAGTCAGTCAGAGGAAGAGCCAAGGGCCTGACTTTGAAAGTTTGAAGCATACGCCAAAGGCGATGCCTTTGTCGCCTTCAAAAATGCATATGAGGTCCAAGAAGCTCTTTGAGATGGATCCTCAGCTTGATTTCATGGATAAAAAGCTTATTAAGGAATGAAGAATGCTGATTTCAGATAATTTATTAATATTAAAAGGCCAGAAGGAACTTATCAAACTAAAGCCGGAAAACTATACTATAAGAGATGATTTATTTGCATCTCCAGTGATTATGAAGTATTTAGGAGAGTTTCATGCCTGGAATAAGCTCATTGGTAAGAATTTTACTTATAGAACACCTAAGGAAGAAGATGTCTTCTCCCTAGGGATGGTATTTATGAATACCTTATTGTTGAACCACTATGATCTGGCAACTTTTAAAAGGAAAATCCTTGCTTGAAAGAATTCTAAATATCGATTATCTTTTGTCGCTAAAACTACAAAAGATCTCCCATACGAAAGTATCGATGATATAAACAAGTTGATAACATGATGATTGGCTCCAATATCAAAGGAAAGGCCAACTTTTGAAGCAATTCTTGGCTTGATCAAGTGAATGCTTCCAGACAAAAATGTAAGAAGGCTAGTTTAATATTATAGCATAGGAAAGACTCCTCTCGTTTGTCATCTTTAGAAAGCTCATTTGATGATCTATGAGACCTCTCGACCGATGAGAAGGCTCCTAATAAGCTCAATTTGCTTTAACAAAAGATATTGATTTCGCACAGATGTGTAAGTTTCAATTATTTTGCCAAGAAAAGGGGTTTTGGGGTTTTGGGGTTTTGGGGTTTTGGGGTTTTGGGGTTTTGGGG